ATATAAAAAGTTTATTATTATTATATTAGCTTAAGTCAGTTAGGACATCAACTTTGTACATGACATGCTGGAGGAATTAGGTACATAAGTATCTATATCCACAGTAAAACGAGTCCTGTAATGACTTAACCTGAAAGACTTCTCAGCAAGGAGGAAGGCACTGCTCCAAAGCCGCCATCAAAAAAAGCCAGACTAGTTTGCAACTGCACATGCAAACAAAGATCTTACTATCTGTAGAAATGTCCTGTGGTCTGATGAAACAAAAATTGAACTATTTGGCCATAATGACCATCGTTGTGTTTGGAGGGAAAAGGGTGAGGCTTTCAAGCCTGGAGAAAACCATCCCAACCGTGAAGCGCGGGGGTGGCAGCATCATGTTGACTGCTTTGCTGCAGGAGGGACATTTGCATTTCACAAAATAAATTGCATCATGAGAAAGGAAAATTATGTAAATACTATATATTCAAGCAACATCGCAAGAACTCAGCCAGGAAGTTAAAGCCCAGTCGCAAATGGGTCTTCCAAATGGACAATGACCCCAAGCACACTTGCAAAATTGTGTCAAAATGGCTTAAGGAAAACAAAGTCCAGGTATTGGAGTGGCCATCACAAAGCCTTGACCTCAATCCAACATAAGATTTGTGGGGGCGGAACTGAAAATGTGCATGCACAATGTGTGCGTTTATTTTGACATATCACATTCTTAAAGCAGTGATCCTTACTCATAAGACAGGTAATGCTTGATATGATTTAATGTCAGGAATTGTGCAAAATTGAGTTTAAATGTATTTAGCTAAGGTGTATTGTATGTAAATGTCTGGGTTCAACTGTAAATAGTGCATTTATTTCACTGCAGCTGCATTTGTCTTCAGCTAAATTTTTTATATAAAATATATATATTTATGTCTTTGTGAAGGTTATGGTTAAGATATGGAAAGTCTTGAGGGAATTCATATGCAAATCAATGAAGTGTTCTCTAAACAGTGTTATATTATGTGGAAATAAAAATATTTTTGTGCAGATTCGAAGTTGCATTTTGAAACACGCTGTTCTCCTGTGGAAGCTCTGATTCAGCAATAAATTGATGTAGCAAATGTTTTATGGTCTGAATGATGGTCAGAGCTTCAGTATGAACTGTTGAGGCAAGAAGAACGCAGTGTAAGAATGACCTGTCAAAGCTGCTGGGTATCATCCCTTAAAGCTTTCGAGACATTTTAAGCCAAACTTCACTGAGACTCCCCTTCGCCGACGCTTAGATATCATGCTGTTACACTGCGCTTCCTTAGCTCTGACAGCTGTGTGATTATGTAAATATCTGTGGTTCAGCTTTCACACATTTTCCACAGTGCATGTACTGCGGATTGGAATCAGTGAGTACTGGCGGATTCACAGGTGTTAGGAGATTCAGTGTATTGATAAAGGTGGAGGTGCAGACAGGCTTGACCTCCTGCCCCTGTCAATATCAGTGGCAAATATTGATTATTTCAGCCAATCCAGTTAAAATGAAGGAAGACCCCCTTTTTTCTAATTGAATAATCACAGAATGAGATGAATGATGATGGTGAGGTGGTTTTATCCACATGAGGAGAGAAACAGTTTATTAGTCAGTGGTGTTTGTGGGAAAACAACACTCACATAATGCTCTTCATTCACTGTAATAGGAGCACTGGTGGTATTAGACTTTCCTCCTGTGAAAAAATAAACAAGCCCACATGTCATTTGTGCAAGCAGCTTATTACGACCCGTAGTTACTTTTTATTATTAGGCGACCTCTGACCTCATTGTGTGTTTATTAATGTAACCATGACAACAAAGGCCCTCTAACTTTAAAGAAGCTATTTGTAAGTTTTGCTATTGCCTTCGTTAGCATTAACAGCTGTTTACTTACTAGTCTAGAAGAAACATGATGAGTTCAGCATCAAACTTCATTCCTTTACTTGCCAAGAGCTGTGTCCAGCAGTGGAAAGCAACACCAATCTTAATTCTTGTATATCACGTCTTCTACTGAAGTTAGCACGCTAACCAGCTAGCCCTGGCCCGTCTCATCACTTTCTGATAGGAACTAACTGTAGCCTCCAATCTGCCCTGAAGACGTAGCGCTGCCCAGCGGACGTATTATAACCTCTTGTCTTGTAGACGTTGTCCTCATATTTTCTGGTTATTCTTTACAGGAGCCACTTGTATGTTGCTATTGCTACATGGCATTAGCATTAACAGCTGTTTACTTACCAGTCATGCCAAGAGCTGCAGCCATCATTGAGTTTAAGACAAGAGGTTATAATACACCCTCTGAGCAGTGCTTCTTCATCAGGGCAGACTGGATGCTACAGTGACCCGGTATCGGAAAGTCACGTGACAGTCTGAACGGGCTGGGGCTTGCTGGTTAGCATGCATGCAAGTGATAGATATAGAAGCAAAACAAGAGAGTTGTTTTCCACCTCTGGAGACAGCTGTCAGTGAGGAAAGGAGTTTGTTTCTCAAGGTTTCTTCTACAGTGGTAAGTAAACAGCTGTTATGCTAAAATTGGCTATGTAGCAATAGCAGACCTTACTAATAGCTCCTTTAAATCCTTAAATTCAAGTATTATTATAGGAATGCTGCTGTTCCTTCTTCAAGGAAACTTCAACTTGGCATATGCAAATTGTTCTCTTGGTCCTGTGGGTGGTCTCCAAGTTTTCTGAAAAATCCAAGCATGAGCAAGTTACTTTAGTGACTCCAGCTGGGAAGAAGTGCACTCCTGAATCCAAATTTCAATGAGCGCAGTAGAGATTGTTATTTTTCAAAAGAGACATTTGTAGACTTCTTACTAATGGATTGTAAGACAAGGAAGAAACACAAACATCTTTTCTTGTTTTCTCTTTCTTTCTTGGACCTTCTAACACATATGAATCAGGCTACAGGCTTGCTTCATCTGATAAGATTTTGTCCCACATGCCTCATATCTGTTAAGGTGTTTGTTGTTAGCTGTGAAGGTGTCTGTTGATATGACCTAGAAAAAGAAAAGAATAACTGCTCATTTTAGAGCTACAGCAGAGAGTGTGAAACAAAAAAGAAGAAAGATAATGCTGGACTGCAAGTACACCTGTTTAGTGTTTTTAAAGCAGATGCAAATCTCTAAACTCAAAAAACTTTATTGTGCTTCATTTCCAGATAGTGGCACTTAGTTCTGAAGCTTTGTGCGGAGCAAGATGAATCGCTGAAAAAGGTTTTTTACTTGTTTGAAGAAAAGTAAAATACATGACAAAATTATAAAAGATACAGGAACTCCCTTGTAGCACATGGGAAGATATTTATCCTTTGTGGTTTGTGAACATTGGGAGGTTGTGGTGTAAAAACATGTAAAATGATCATTGTAATGTAAAATAAATAAACTTCACCCTATTATTACCATATATGAACACATGTTCACAGACAATGCTTTCATTGCCTAAACTTAACCAGAGATGGGATTGATGCAAACCCCAGTCTCTGTTGTGACAGTCGCGCACACCTGCCATCCACTGTAACCGCTACCCAGCAACTCAGCTGTTAATAACTGTAGCGTTTCATTCACTCGGTGAAGTTGGTGAATGTTCAGAGCTTTGCCTTTGAACATAATCCATAATCATACATGTAATCCGGCGATTACATTTGCACCACAATGTAAGTGGGAAAGCAGTTTAGTTTTATATGAACATCATTTCTAGGAGTCTGGAATGGGGTGCTTTCGTTCCCCACAATGCAGAGGTTGGGGACTTTAGTCACATGACTTGACTTAAGTTACAAATTTGAGGACTTGAGACTTACACTGATAAAAAGACTCAACTTGACTTTGACTTGGTATTCATGACTTAAGACTGGACAGGCTTGAGACAGTTGACTCAAATGGACTCAACATTTTTTTAATTAAAAATTTGTACTTTTCTAGATATTTTTGTTTTTTAGATAAGTTACATTTTGTTTTGAAACATGATGACACACATACCTAGATACCTAAATAATAAGACAATAATAAGTTAATAATTTTAGCAGTGAGAGGCTGCAGTCACAAATCTGGACTCTACGTTGTAATAAAATGTCAAGCATCAGTAAGATTTATAAGATGTAAGCAGCTGCAAGAGATTTTCTTATGTTGAAAATAAAGCTAAACTTTTTATGACCTCAGTCTTTAACTGATTTAAATGTGGAAACTGGTCCATCATCAGGATTTCATATAACTTGACTTGCTTGTGACTTGCACATGCGTGACCTACTCCCACTTCTGCCACAATGCAACTCAGCCACCTTTTGTTGAAGATTCAGCTGTGTTATGCTACAAGTGGGTAAGCCTCAAGAGGTGATGAGGAGCAGGTTACAGAGGTCCACCTCACGTCTTTCTAACCTCTCTCCCCCAGATTTTTCTCATATACAAACTTGTCTTCAATTCCAGCCGAAGCTGACTCAAGTGTGATGTGGTGTGTGGCGTTGCATGTTTTTCAGCTGTCTCTTGCATTAGAGTCAACAAAAATTACATTTATCATCAACATTTTGAGATATTATATTAAGATGAAAAAACAACAACAACAAAAAAACTACGAGGCTTCATAAAATGTGTGCTTTTCTTTTCTTCAGCTGTTCACAGGTATGACAGGTTGCACTCAAAGTCATCTTGAAGGTATCCGGTCCATCAACCTCTCAGACTGTTGGACATCCCAGCAGCACCAGCAGGATGGGGAGGACAAGGAAGGAGGTGAGGAAGGAGTTATAGTAGGAGGAGGAAGAGGGAGTGTGTTCCGCTTGGATGGCCGGAGCAGTGAGGATGCTGGTCGGGTAGGGTAGAGAGGGGAGGGGAGGAGGGGGGTGTTTGTCTCTTTCTGTCTTTCTCCGCCTGCCGCGTGTGCGTGCGTCCCGTTCCAGCTCCAGCTCCAGCTCCAGCGCGGTTCAAGGAGGGACTCTGGGAGAGAGGGGAGGGGAGACTTGACGCGTCGGAGTGAGTGAGAGCACACGGAGGCTTCACTTTTCCGACATGCAACCCGCGAGACGCCACGCCGTCAGCTACTTGTGCTACTGACACCAAGAGCGAGACAAGAGAGGCTGAGGGATGGAGACACAGTAGTGGCGGTGCCGCACAGAGCAGCTCAGGCACAACACACCGCGGCGCAGCTCGTGTATGAATGTGGCGCGACACAAAAGAGAGAGAGAGAGCGGCATCTTTGCGCACAAGTCAGACGGATATTTTTGTGCCGGGAGCGTCGCCGCGACTCGACAGTGATGTCTGTGTGCAGAATTTTGTTTAGTGAGAAAATACGGATTAATCTGAGGCTGTGAATTCCTCGGAGATATTACAGCTGTGTGGACAGGTAAGGCTATTATTATTATTATTATTATTATTATTATTATTATTATTATTATTATTATTATTATTATTATTATTATTTCATTATTTTCCGTGCAGTAACTTCAGCACCTGTCAAGTTACACCTCAATCAGCTCAGCAGCAGCGGCAGCTCTGAAACAAATGAAGCACAGTTTACATCCTAACTTTTCACAGATGACATTTTGAGACCGTAGCTATATTTGGGGGGGGGGGGGGGGGGGTTGCAAACCTGGATTGCCTTCTCTGAATTTCACCCTCTGCTGATCTCATTTCCTTGTGTCTACTTTGTTGTGGGACTATCATGGTGGAGGCAAAGTAATCTGCGAGTGTGTGTGTGTGTGTGTTTGTGTTTGTGTGTGAGCGCGACTCAGATCAGTGCAGATGTTTAGTAATCCGCCGGCGTTGACCCTCCCTTCAATAATCCCTGCGGATTTGGTTGATTATGCCGCCGCCGCCGCCGCCGCCGCCGCCGCTGCTGCTGCTGCTGCTGACCACCTACCGCGGCCACGAGAATTCAATCCGCCTGGTCCTGGGTACCGCGGGATTAACGCAGAAAAAACATGAGCTTCAGCGCTGACAGAAATTGTACATGCTTCAGATTCACTCTTGAATAGTGACAGGTAAACCCACCTTGAGTTCGAACTCAAAAGTAAAACCCCAAACTGTTGTAAAATTGAAGTTGTGTTGGTAGTTTGTTGCCTCATGATGCTCATAAGTGGAGCTCAGAATGAATCAGCCTGTGTGTCACTGTATCACTGCTTTAATGGTGTTAATCATCTGTCAGTCACCGTATAAGCCTTCCAGTGTTTGGGCCTGAAGTCTGATGGCCAGCAAATGCCATATAAGCCTACTTTAATATGTTTAATAGACGGTGAGCATCTGTGCGGCTTCTGCACATCTAACGTGCCAACTTCTGCTCAAAACCGCTCACTCCAACCATCACTGAAAAGTAATTCAGCTCCGGGAGCATAAAAAATAAGCCTGGCGTGTACAGTCGGGGAAAATGTGTCAGTGTGATGATAAGACCAGTCAGAACAGACCATGTGCTGCACTGAGCATCCATCTCATGATGCACAGACATTGTTCATTCAGCATTGGGTCTGTGGCTGACTGAGGAGCAGCCTCTGTAACTCTCTGTGTGTGATCTGTTTCATGGACTTCTCCTCTGACTTGACTCTAAAGTTTAACCAGGGAAACAAGAGAGATGCTTCAGCAGGAAGATTTTTCTAGCAAAGATGTGCAATAAAGACACAAACTGAAGCTTAATTAACTGCAACTTTTCTTTTTTTTTCACTTCATCTAATGATATCCAGTGGCTGCGTGACGCTGCCCAGATGCAGCCTCACAGGGTGGAAAAAAAAAACAGCCCTTTTAATGGCTGCTGCCGTCCTGGAAGCCAACAGCCCTGTCAGAAGTGACGGAGCACAGAAGTGACATTAAAAATACCCTAGGATAGGTGCATTTAGACGCGCGGCATAAAAATTTCATTGCACGCTTCCCGCAGGAAGTATCGAAGAAATGTCATCAAAGTCATTTTTATTTCATGTCTCTCCAGGAAAAAAACTAGCTCAAGGAACAGAGCAAAGGTACAATGAGTGGTTTTTGCTCAAAAGTGTTTGTGAGCTTGTGTGAGATATGATGGAGGATGTTCAGTGTGCGGCTGTTCCCGCCCTGACTTGCATACAGAGCTGCACTTTTTGCTCCTCACATTGACTTGCTTTGTCACGAGATACTCTGTAAGCACCGAGTTTACAGCCACACGGGCTCTTTACAGTAATCATGGTAGTTTCACAGATGTTTGGGGAGAGGATGTAGTAAGACTTGTTGCTCTCTTCTCCACCCTGCGTTCACCTGGTTTACGCCTCTTTGTCTCCATGTTGGTCTGCACCAGTGTTACTGTTGGACTCTCACTTCTGTAGAGCTGTATTTCCCCATTATTTCTACGTGAATGTCTTTATGTTACCAGCGCCTCATGCTTCTTACTAACTTATTACAATTTTAGATGTCTACAGAATAGAGACCAAATGATTAATTCATTAGTTGATCTACAAAAAATGAATAATGATGATCAATAAATTGTCATTTTTCAAGCAAAACTGCCAGTTTCTCATCATTTCCTGGTCTTTGTCCTGACGTGACATTAAACTGAGCATCTTTGTGCTTTACACTGTTGGTCGGACAAAACAAGAAATTACAATCTATATATTTTGGCTTTGTGAAATTGTGACGAGGAATTTTATCGACCAAATAATGTCAGAAGAAAGATGTGAATAAAATAAATGATGATTGATTAAACAATGAATTGATTGGTCTACAAAATATCAGAGAGCTGTGAAAAAAATTTCCAAAGCCTGAGCTTCAAATGTCTCAACAAAAGAACAAATATATTCACTTTACTAAAATAAGACAAAGAAAACCAACATTTTCTCACATTTGAGACACCAGAGTAATACATGTTTGGCTTATTCGCTTACAAGATGATGAAAATAATTAATAATCAAAATAGTTGGTGATTAACTTTCTGTTTGTTTAATCGACAAATCCTTTCAGTTCTCATTTGAATGTGTCACTTTGTGGCTCTGGGAAATTGTTGGATTTTTTTCTGTTTTTTGACATTGTCATCCCTGAAATACTTTGTTTAAAAGAATAGCACTTCGATAAATAAATAAAAAAAAAAAAAAAAAAGAAAAGTACAAACAACAAAATATATATTTGTGTTTGTTGTTTTTTTAAATTCCAACCAAATCTTCTTACAACCTCTTAGGTTCATCTCATGATCCCTTGTGGAGCTCCCAAACCCCAGGTTGGGCACCACTGCTGTCCAGTTTCTGTCCTCCTTGTCTCTGACCTGATGTCTCTTTCACTCTAACAGACAGTGTAATATGTGACAGGTGTATATTTTTATGACCACCTTGATGATCAGGCAGCGTTCACTCACAGTAACAAGCAGCAGATACAGACGGCAGAAACAAACGCCTGGTGTCAGTTGTTCAGCTGCTGCTTTGCAAAGTGAGACTCTCCACAGCACCGTAATGGATGAGGAAGCTGCGGGCGCCTGATACTAGTTCAGTGATGTGCGGTGTGGTTTCAAGTATGCCATGCATTACTTGATTGAATCTGGCATAACGTGAGTTTGTTTGACACATTGAGATGCGACTTTTGAAGAAATCGTACCCGTCAAGCAGGAATATGGGGAAATTACACGTTTCTTCCTTCGCTAAACTGTAAAAAAAAAAAAAAAAAGATATGATAGTTGTGATTAAGCTGTAATCCAGGGGTGTCAGCGTGCCATCGAGCAGATACAGAAGAGATTCACCGTATCAAAGTGACTGTGGTTAACAGAGTCAGCTTTGAATGAAAGGGAAAATCATGTTGAAAACCCACTGGATCTATGACTTTATACAGTTTTGTTTGTTTTTTTTTCTGGGAACTATTTTTCTTAAAAAACGCAATTAATCCAAAAACCACTCCCCAAAAATCATTTTCTCCAAATGTATTGCCTTCAGTTTCTTCTGCACGGCCCAGACTGGATTTCATTGAAATAAATCTTTAATCTGCCTGAGTCTGCATGCACAATCTTCCACCCACTGCTACACTTCTAAGAGGATGAAGAATTGTTGTATAATTCAGTCAAAGCAAGGTCATGAATAAGAGTAATTTACAAAAATATGTCCCGTCTTCACCATCAGAAGTGATGGTGCGCACACTGCTGTGAATTGGGAGCCCCACAATTGTCAGGAACAAGTACACTTGACTTTTATATAGCGGAGCTCCTCAGTGTTGCCCACCTACTCCCATCTCTATGTTCGTTTTTAGTATTTAGGATGAAGAGGAAAAGATCCAAGACGGCTCAATGAGACAGCTCCATTTCCCGCTCTATTTATCGAGTCTCATTGGTTCTGTAAATGCCCTATTTGTAATCCAATCGTATTAGAATAATTTCCCTGCTTTAGCGATGCTTTATGATGCTCTGTCACTTCTAGGCCTTTGGTTTCAAGGCGCCGCGGTCCTTTGGGGTAAGTCTTCACAGACTGAGCCTGCAACGTTTCCCCTGATTCAAACATTGCACACTGCCTCTCCTCGGGAATGGCTTTAATTGAGTGCTTAATAAGAGAAACGCCACACAGCAACCAACTTCAGGGGGGGATCTGAGCGCTGAGACTGCTGCATTATTAAATGTACTTATATAAGGCTTCCAAACATCTTTTTTCCAAGTAGTCTCAGGCTAAAGCCAGGTTCATGATTCTTTTTGATGATACGCTTCACTTGAATGTGGATTTTTTTTTTTCTTTACTGAAGATCCACGAGAGCACAATTTCAGAGGTGTATTGTGCTCCGCTGGGTGTGGCTGCTGTGTCAGAGCCATCTTTTCCTCCCTCATGTAGCACAATATTAGCACTCGATAAAACTGCGTTCCCCGCAGGGCATTGTTGTTTCCTTTTGTCTGAATCAAGATTAAAGGGATGAATGGAGCAGGTGGGATGACTCAAAAGAATGTTTTAAACTCACCCTAAACACAGTGTTTCTCTCTATTGATAACTGTCGATAAAATACAAGCAGCCTCACACTTTGTGCCAGAATCTGTCACAGGCTTTTTTATTATCACACTGACAAAACTGCAGGTGTGGCATATAGCGATTTGAACTCCTTGAACAAGTTTTTCTTTCTTTGAAATTTGTCCTCAGCCTATAATGCCCTGTGAAGACTTGTATGTTCTTGTGGCATCACCATTCCTTGATTATCATTACGTACGAGCAAGTAACAATTAATAAGACAAATCATTTCATTTAAAAAGAACTGCTCGTCCTTGTATTTCCTCTAAAAGTACAAAACCTTTGTGCATCTTCCTCGTCTGGAGCTACAGAGAAAGGGTTCATGAACTTGAAACTGGAGCATCAGACTAAATAACGTCTTGATTATATTAAAAGATGATTATTTTGAGGAAATTAGGACGAGATGGAAATTAAGGTTAAAGGAGCGAGG